AGGGGGAAGAACAAGAAGAAAGAAAAAGAAAAGAAAAGAAATAAAAGAAATAAAAACAAAATGATAAATTTTTTTGGGTTTTATTTTTCTTTTAATTTGTTTTAAAACCCTAAGCCCAATCCCCAAATCTCAATTGAAGCTCAAATAAGTAATACAAAACCCCAAATCAACAAGCCCAAAATTTCACTTTAGAAATCAAATAAACCCACAACCATCCAAAATAACATAATTAACTTAAACTCTAAAAGTCAAGAATAATAATCTAGTAAGTAGAAATTTGGAGTCCCAAAACCATGGATTTAAGATTTAAATAAACGTCTCCTACACTGATCGAGAACTTAAGTTATCCTAATCCAATAGAATTAAACTAAATTCTAATTTACCCGACATCAGAACTCCAAAATTATAAAATCCAAGAATTAAAATTATAAGCTTCGGCAAAATCCAGAGGTATTAATGATATCTTGAAATAAACGTACCCGGGCACGCGGGGCGTTACACCTATATTTGTATAGCTAGCCTATACCTGTTTTAGTAGATCCCATTAGTTGTTAGCATTAGCCCTCCACACTCATGCCTATATCTTGATAGTGAACATTGTTATACTTCTCAATTACTTTCGCTTTAAGTTTGGCGGCGTGCTGACGCTTTAAATTTTAGATGTCCTTAGCTGCATTGAAGATAATGCAACCTCTTAAGTTTGGAGGAGTGAACTTTCAGCTCTCATACCTTTATTAGCATTTCTATATAACCATGAATCTTTCTAATCATGTAATTCAACCTTTAAAAAAAATCATCATCAATAAAGAAGGTGTTAGCAGCCCGCATCTAGAGAATAAAGAGGTTGCACAATGAAGAAGGGCTAGTAGCTGATGGTTGAAAAAGCCAAAGTTGGTAGTGCGAAGGCTAAAGGTTTACGCTAGTGAAAGGGGCTTAAGAAAGGAATCTCTAGGAGAAGTAAACTTGAAGTTGGGAAGTAGAAGGAAGCTAGAGATGGGCTGAAAATAGAATCTTACAGAGTGTGAACAAACCTAGGATGCCTTCATTCTTTACTCCAACTGAAGTACTTAGCAGAGTATGTAAGTTCTAGCATTTTTTATCAAAATGAAAGGGTGAGCCATAGGGCTGGATGTTTGAAGTGCAGGTTTCTAACGTTCCTCTTTTGTGAACATAACTGAATTGCATGTTCTTGCTTGGGGACAAGCAATATTTTAAGTTTGAGGGTGTGATAACTCTTCAAAAGAGAGTTATTCTAGTGTATATTTGGGTGTTTTTATGTAAAAAATTGTCAATGTGTGTTTATTTTAGCTCTTAAATATCATAGATAATATTAGAAAGTGGAATCAGAGCTAAAAGTCTTAGGTCTTGAATGCTTTGGCTAAAAAGTGTGCTAAATGCTCATATTTATAGCTTAATTGCATAGGTTTGGAAGCAGAAGACAAAGCCTGAAGAGAATGCTAGTCCTAGAGAAGAGTGAAAGAATCATCTTCAAGTTAGAGCATACGAAAGCTGGAGCGACGCAACGCAGGAGCATGGAATTACTGTGCAGTAACAGTTCAGACACGATAATTTACCATGTCCGTATAATCTTCAGCTGGGTGACCTAAAAATAGGACCCGATATAAAAGGGGCATTTAACCCTAGCTGCCAGAGACAGATCCCAATAGAGACACTTTTGAGAGCTCAAACGATAAGGATGAGGAATCTCCCCATTTTCGAGGGAGAAAGCTGACGACAGAATGGGATATTCGACTGCTGCATCGAGCATTATTCATATTCTTCCTCGGTTTTCTGTTATTTCCTTGAAATGAGGTTTCTTCTTCATTTACCCATTGTATTTTCTTCTTTCTCCATGAGCTAAACCCTGTTTCGGGGGAGATTTACATGTTGTAGCTGATAACAACCAAACCTCTAGCTGATTTAATTTGTTTTTAAATAGAGCTGTATTTATTTCCTAAATCTTACATAACATTGTTCGCCACTCTGTTTTGTATACTAGTGTCTTTATTGACCTGAGAGGGCTTAAGGTTTGCTGACTTGCTTTGTTTGTGATTAGTACTTTTCTATAGTAATTTATGGATGCTCAGGAATGGGGTCCCCTAATCATGCTTAAAATTTCTATATATTGCTTGGAAACTTAGCAACGGGAGTTGTGGGTATCCATTTTTGGGTGTCTCAAAAGGGAACCATGTCGAGTTGACCACTAATGAATGTTGTCTTGCTTGAGGGTAGGTAGAAAAGTCAGTGAAAGCATGTTAAGTTTGCCCCASTTTTCCATATATGTTAACCCCCATTTTCGCGGTTAAGTGCCGTGACATTTTCCTGTTACCAGCAGTTCAAAGTGTATCTGCTGTTGAAATTATTTACTGCTTTGTGTATGAAATTTCTTTTACATACAACACAATCATATATATTTCTTTGTTTTTACATTTTGGTATCTGCGAACATCGTTTAGAATATTATCCAAAGTCCCTATAGATTCGACATCGTTTCTTGCTACAATCGACATTTTCATGTATACTTGCACGCATTGCGACACGATTGTATGGACGCAACAACCCCCATCACTATCCTAGTTGGAATCAACTCGTTTGTTAGCGTTGACTTTTTACTGTATAAACATGTGTCGGTAGGCCCGTTTGACCACGTTTTTTTACCCCTTTCCCATCATTATTTTCCAGAAAGGATTACATATTCTTAAAGTAGAACATGCATTGAAACTATGGTACTTTAGGAAAATATGAGAAAAATGCGGTCAAAGTTTGAAGAAAATAACAGTTTTCTGTTTTGTAGGAATTGCGCCTTGCGCAATTTTAGAGGTCAATTTTGTCAAAACGTGTGTTCTGATTAATATGGGGCAAAGAGGACATTTTCCATGTGTTTGAATCAAGTTGTAACCGTGGGTCTAAGTCAAATTGAAGTTGTTAGGTGCATCTCAACTCATTTCCACCTAAAAAGGTAGGAAGTTCAATAACTCCAAGGTCCTATATATCCATCCCTCAAGCACCAAATCATCCCTTCCAAGCTCATTTTTCAGTTTCATTTACTTTCTTCTTCGTTATAGAACTCGTTCTTAGTTTTAAATTCAAGTTTTAGTTGTTATTCCTTCGTATTTTCGTACTTTATTGCTTTTCTTTCAACTTCTATCATTTGTTCTTCGTTTATTATGTTATTCTTAAGTTATTTAGTGAGTTTCACTCCCCTTACACTCGAGAGAGAAGAAGGTCAAGCAAGAACTCATTGTACGACTCGTTTATTCGTTTTAATTCAGTGAAAAATACTTTCTTTATGTTTTTCATGCATTTTCTTTCCTTTAAAAATGTTATAAATTAGTTATCAACCTTTTTGTGGAATGCGTTAGTCAAAATGATATGATTTACAATAAGCTCGGGATTTGTCCAAAATTGTGCCTGGAACTTTTTTGGGTTGGTTTCTAAAAGCTTCTCTTTACGTATTTTTTCCATTTGGCCAGTGGGAACTTGATTTATACACTAAAGCCCAACCCTGAGAAGGGTGAGTTAGGTAAAATAATAGGAGATCAATATGGGATGTGACTTAGACATAAGTGCATAAAATATGGTCCTAGACATAGGACCTCTGACCCATAAAGCAAATTAGTTGATAATTATTCTCTAGGATTGTAATCACACATAGACATATGATTGTAGATTACCCTAGCCTCTACAGCAACCAAAAGTGGTAGTGAAAGAGTATAACTCAGTTTCCCAAGAAAAGTCAGAATTGCCCCTGGTGCATTTTCCCAACAAACTGTGTTTTCCATGTTTTGCATCAAAACTAAGGTAGGAAACAAAGAAGTTGAGTTTTATTAAATTGCTTGATAGTTAAAACCCCAAACAACAACATTTCATCACATTTTTCTTCCTTAATCACAATTGCATATTTGAACTATTTCACGATATAATTTGATTTTGAAAAGCAACAAGTCCTTGAGGATTCGACCTTGGACTACTTCCAAGTATTACTTGCGACCGTGTGCGCTTGCACGAGTCTCTGGTCTTTTTAAAGGTAGAGAAAGTCCCAACATCATTCTTTACATTTTCCACTACAGTCATGCCTCGTTTCTTAGGCACACACTGCACCGAGTTTACCCACTCGCCGTCTGAAATGGGGTATATAATGCCTGCATCTAGCCATTTGATAATAGTCTTCTTCGCAACTTCCTTCATTGACAGATTAAGTCTACGTTGGGGCTCTATGGAGTTCTTTCTTTCGTCCGCCAACATTATCTTATGCATACAAAAGCTGAGTCTTATTTTCTTGATATTTGCAATAGTCCGCCAAATTACTCTCTGATGGGCTTTCAGCACACTCAACAACATCTGCTCCTTCTCCATGGGTAAGTCTGCTGCTATGATGATCGGCAATGTCTCTAAAGAACCCAAGTAGGCATACTTCAGATGGTGAAGCAATGCCTTAAGCTCCAAGATTGGCGGTTCTTGATTACGCTTGTTTACATGCGTAAAAAGAAGGTTTTAGATGCTGTTTTTACTATGTTTAAGCTTTGTTTCGGATTTTTCTCGGTCGTTTGAGTTCCAATTCATGCAAAAATTCATATATTATGGTTTGTGGTTGGCTTATATTGTATTTATGACATTTTAGGACCATTTGGGAGTGCAGATTAATCAAAAGAAGCAAAAAGAAGAAAAAACATCATTGGAGGCGCCAGGCGCCTGGGAAG